TTGCAATTGGCACGTTTAATTTTTTTGTCCCAGCTTCATTAAATCTTACTATGCTTTCCGCTCATGCAATGTTGCCTATGTAACTTTTTTCGCTTATCCATTTTCATCGGTCTTCCAGACTTGAGGTGAGTAATGAAATGTCCAACAGAAGAACACTCCGTGCTCCCTCAGAGGAACAGCCATAAAATCTTTCAACGGGTACTACTTCCCGAATTATCTATTTTCTCTTTCACTAAGTCATCCATCTATATGAGGTAAACTAGCATTCTTATTGGCATCCTGGGTCCAAATATTGGTAATTCAAGTGTTAAAATAAGCATGGCCTAACGCAAAAGGTAATCCAAAAAATCAAGTGTAGAGGTCTTCGGAAAAGTTCTCAAGGCCGTCAGAAAATAAAGAAAACTTACGAGACAATAGAGATAGACCCTTTAAAGATCTTGCAAAGACATTGTAGCACACAACATCTAATTTTACAAGAAAATAGCCTTTGAGATAATACACTCCATTTTACGTAGGCTTAATTAATTTAATTATTATTCATATCGTTTAATTTAGTACCGTAAATATATAAGTCGATATCTAAGCGTGATTATTCATTTATCCGGTGGCCAGGTCTGGTAATATAGTATGGACATTCATGAGACTTGCTTCAATCTAATCAGACATGATAGCGTATCAGTTAGCTACGAAATGAGCATACGGTAATTCTCCCTAAATAAGATTAGTACGAGTGCGTAGCTCTTGCAAAAGATTGCTCATGCCTTTGACGTGTAAATAGAATAAATGCTTTGGGTCACAGTTTAAAAATAACTTCTTAGGAAGAATTTGAAGAACTAAAGCAGGACTCGATGATCAAACACCTAGCAAGTACAAAAATGTGCAAAATAATTCCTATGTCACTTGAGCAGATTTGAGGATTGATAAAAGGATTTACCCATAATGGCATGAGTAGGCCTGGTAGTCCCAGTGAATTTCTTTTAGCTCTGTCTCACGGTTTTCTCACCTGCCCCGTAGGCCATTGGCACGCGTAGTTATTTAGCGCAGTCGCAATGTGCCATCACGACACGCATGAATCAGTTTCGAATCCACATGGGGATCTTAATAGGGCCTAGATGAGATTCAAATTGCTGTAGACTCTGGATGAAAACGAGATGCATGCCAAAGTAAGGTTCAGATATAGCAAGTAGTGCTGATGGTCTAATCTGTTATCCAAAATCCCCAACATGAAAAGGATGACAATATCCAAAAGTTACATTTGAAAATTCCAGTGCTAAATGTTAGAGAACGTTTAGGGCACTCACTAAAGTTTATATGATAAAATTACCTAGCATATTACTTAAATATGCCTATTATATTTGATTAAATGGATGATTTAATCAGGATAACTTTGATGCATCTAAATTGCTAATGAGTATCATAATTGTCTTAACAGAGAAGCCCAAATATTAGGGCGAGAACCTATATTTAAAAAAGTAACATAATGCGCAAAAACGAAATTTTCGGATGTGATTTTTAATGGTAGGTAGTTTCAAGGCCTAAATAGTTCACCTTTTTATATCATACTATTTATCATATTTACCTAAAACGATATAAATATCAAACATTTATGTCCTATAACTATTAAGCACCTTCAATTCCACACAAAATGCAGAAACCGGATGATTATTTTATATTAAAGCACATATAGACCAGTCTATTAAGAGAAAGATAAATAACTAGCTTAGTTTGAAATAGGCGTCTAAATAAGGCTTAAAAAGTAAAAATCTATAACATGGCATGTTTTTGCCAATAAAAAAACGAAGACTAACCAGAAAGAAGAGTGCCCATTCCCCAAAAGGTACCCCCTCCAATTGACGTGCCACCAACTCTAGAATATGTAGTGGCACTTTCCACCTTTAGAATGCTCACTCCAGATCCAATATTGACAAGGAGAAAAGGATAAGTGTCGACCAAGCAGCTAGAGAGGAAAGTATGTGCTGGAGTAACATGCTTATCATAGGTAAAAACTTCGTCTGGAATGTTCTGAAGAAGAAACGAGCAACCACGAACTAAGCACGCCATCTCGTCTTCTTTGTCAACAACAACACCTAGTTTGGTAGAAATAAGATCGAGGTACTTGAAGGCTCCACCGCCGGTCACTTTGATAACGCGTTTATTAGAGATGTCCACTTTTTCATCAGCACTTAGAATGTTTTCGCGAATATAGTCGAGACAGGCTTCAATGTATCGTGTCTCGAACTTAATAAAGCACAATCGATAACCTTCGTGCTCCCGTTCCTCGTATTGATAGAAATCGACGGGAGGTGAGCTAGATCGAAGAATGACAGATGTAAGTGGAATAGAGCGCCTGTAGCGAAAAGTCGTCTGATAGGCCAATTTGGCCAATGAACCACCGATATCCAAGGCAAAAACGTTTCCACGAATAGTCTTTTGACGTGCAGAGTCTGCCAAAATAGATATATCAATAGGAGAACCGTATGCCATCATGGAAATCTGCGGGGACAAGGGAAGGAAAGTTATAAGTCTAGCTCTAAAAGATAGGGCTGATATAATTCAGGTAAATAAATTTATTAGACAATAAGCAAAAATATTAATATTATAAACGCGGATAATTGATAGAATAGGATTAAAAACTTGGTGAGGGATAAAATCATCAATAGTTCAGCATCCTCTAAAAGTCTTAGGATCAATGCAATTTAAACCACAAAAACATGAACACGACAAGCGTTTCATGCAGAAAGCAAACAAAGTGGTATGTTGTGCAGGAAATGAGGTAGTAAATAGAGCTTTAGTTGGCTTTATCTGATTTCTAACACTGATAAAAAAAGCTTTCTACAAAAGTTATATTAAACGTAGGTCACCGTGGTGATTAGGGACCTGAACATGGAGCTTTCTACAAGCAAATGAACGAAAGCATGTTATCTAGTGTATACCTGACAGAGACCAACTCAACATTCCAAACCCAGGCTAAAATAATCAATGAATCAAGCCGTAAATCTCAAAACCTACTACCAATCAAGAAATTGAATTAATACAACTATGAACAGCAGGTTTTCGGTAGATATTTAATGAATGTTCATTAGAGACAAATTTAAATGAAACCAAACTAAATGGGAGCTCAATCTTAAGAAAAGCTTGAATTTCAAAACAAGGATGTTCAAACTCGTAAATTGGCTTCAAGGGGATGGTATTGCAAAGAGATTATGCATTGAGTATCACCATGTCAAAATACCTCAATCCCAGCCTTGACATTAACATGGCTAAAATAATCACTAAAATATCCGACTCGAAAAAGATCTTCTGTAAATTGCGAGACGAAATGCTCATATGGAAGGAAACGACCAACGATCAAATCAAACGCCTAGGTATAGCGATCATACTTAGTTTAGAGTAAAAAATATTAGCCATTCTATTACGTAAATATATCTAAATTAGCAACACAAATAAGGGAGTAATAAAGGTTTTAAAGCAATCTCAAAAACTGTGCACATTATCCTCGTTAACAGTAAACGAAAATCATATTAAGTACCAACGATAAGCACTAAATAATAATTTATTGAAATCCGAAGTGAATAACCTAGGATGCGAGATAGTTTAATAGTATATGCAAGAATGGATGAAGTTAAGCATAAACTAATGCCGGTTATAGCAACAGAAATGAAAGCCAAAATATATAAAGGAAAATAGCCAAAATAAATACTATATTACCTATAAATTCATTAGCGTCAGGAATGTTAGAGGAAGTAGATACGGAGAAGAGGCGAAGCACGGTACGTGAGGCAGGAATCGGTAAAGGGCGGCAGGATTAAAATATAGGAAAAATATTTGCAATGACAATTTCCTGTAAAGTATTATAAAAGTATATA